TCATAAATTTAAAAAATAGAATTACCACATGGTCCATCATTTGCACTTCTGGGCATTTATCCAGAGAAAATGAAAACACTAACTTGGAAAGATATCTGCACGCCTATGTTCATTGCAGCAAAGATATGGAAGCAACTCAAGTGTCCATCAACAGATGAATGGATAATGAAAATGTGATATATATAAACAATGAAATATTATTCAGGCATAAAAAAGAATGAAATCTTGCCATTTGCAACAACATGAGTGGACCACGAGGGCATTATATTATGTTAAGCAAAATAAGTCAGACAGAGAAAAGAAATACTATATGACTTCACTTGTACATAGAATCTAAAAAACAAAACAAAACAAAACAAAAAACAAGCTCATAGATACAGATAGATTGCTGGTTGCCAGAGGCAGAGGAGAGGAACTGGCAAAATGGGTGAAGGGGGTCAAAAGTACAAACTTCCAGTTATTAGAAAAGAAAGAAATTCGTGAGGACGTACTATTCAGCACGGGGACTACAGCTAAGAATACTGTATTACATAGTTGAAAGTTGCTAAGAGAACAAATCTGAAACGTTCTCATCACAAGAAAAAAATTCTGCAGCTACATATGGCGATGGATGTTAATGACTTACTGTGGCGATCATTTCACAATATATACAAATATCAAATCATTGTGTTGTATACCCTAAACTAATAGAATGTCGTATGTCGGTATTACCTCAATTTAAAAAAAAAAAAGAAAAGAAAAAGAAGTGGGGGTGGGGGAGGATAGAGATTTAAAAGCCTATACAACCCAGTCCTTGGGGACAAGGTCTTGCATTGGGTATTCTGCCCTCCAGAGATGCTTCTGGAAGTAAAGAGAGGAGGCTTAAGGGATGCCATGTTTTAAGCCTTTCAGTTTGAGTGCCAAATACCTACCCTTTGAAGTGAAAGCTTTCTAAATGTATGAACTCTCATGCTCCTGTTTTAAAAAGTCAATTGACTAAATTTTAGAACCATAAAACACCCCAGGCCACTTAGTCATTACTGCTCAGCACTGATCCTTCCTTGTCACTACAAAATATCAAAGAACGCGTGCTGAATGTGTGTGTGTGTGTGTGTGTGTGTGAGAGAGAGAGAGAGAGAGAGAGAGAGAGAGAGAGGATCTTGGAACCTGGATCCACTGGTATAGTGCACTGAACAAGAAGACCAGCGTGTGAAACGCTAAGGAGAGAGAAACACAGGAGCGTGAAGTAAAGAACAGAGGTTAGAAACAGCAAAGCCAGCATTTCAGAAGCCATTTTCTCCCACGAGACTCTGTAGCTCTGGTCTTCTGGCCTCTCTGGCGGCCGCTCGTTCTGAGCGATGCCGGGGACCAAATGGATCCCATCTCAGACAGCCTGGCAGCAGCTGTTCTGCACAGAGCACGGGGCCGACTCCCCCGGGGCTCTAGCTGGTGGTGTGCAGAACGGAATCATCTGGAGATGCCACCTCTCTCTTTTCTCAGCTGCAGCAAAGCACTGAATTCAGAAGCGAGGACGCGGTGTCAGCCCGGACTCTACCTGGGGAGTTTTCATTTGAATCCGGGATCTGAGATCCACTCTTCCAGGGCAGCGGCACTGCTGTTCAGAGCAGCCTCACCCTCCCGTCTGGAGAAGGCACCGGCTGACTGTGGGACAGGGCTCCCCGCCAAGGCTCTGGCTTTACACTCAAACACATCAGGGCGGCCGGGGTTTTTTTTCTCCCCTTTTCTGTTTTAAGAAATTAC